TATACTTTAGGTCTAACAAAAAATTAGGGGGGACAAAAGGTGGCTTTGATCCCTCCCACTGGATTGACATGACCATCTTTTGACATGTTTTCATAGGTAATTACTCTAAGGCAAGACTTTTGTTTTTGAACACTATTTTTTTCTTACATTGCCCTTCCTTCTCTGGCAAATAAAGCTAATTAGGTTAAATTTAGTTTTCTCTTCAAAGAACAGACTGAAAACAAACTCTTCATATTTAATAATTATAAAAAAAAAAACTCACAGGGTTTTCATCCAGTTGAGTTTTTCTCCCTAAGAAAGGAAAGTAAAGTTATTTTATCTTATAGAACAAATCAGATGGTTCTATGAAAATGGCTGAGTGTCAAAGGCAGTGATTCAAGCTGATCATCCTTGGTCATTCAAAGGTTGCAAAAATCATAACAACAAAGTCAAACTTGATGTACCGGTTATCAACATGATTCTTTATCATCACGCTATGGAAATCTCCAAGCACATCATATGGGCCTCAGATGTAGGCCCCCCCAGAGGCTTGCAAAATGTGGACCTGAGGGCTTGATATCTGAGACACATTCAAGCTCCTGAGATCCAAATTCAAACCAAGCCCCACATCTTCTTTGGGACAACAAAATACCTGGAAAAAGCTCCCTGGATTCTTCAAGGGTTCCACAGTCACAATTATGCAACCAAGGTGCCGAGTTCCTGGTCAAGCACTAGCACTTGTGTAGGTTGTTGGGTGACAGTCATCCTGACCCTCATACCCTCATATTCCCCCCCTGGACATCACCCGGGGTGTCAGATAGTTTGGACTGACTGGTTTACTCCACCATGGCTAACCTAGCCATCTGTACTGCATGTGACTGAACACAACAGTTGGAAGAGGCATTTTCAGAGCGTACCTCTCTTAGATGGTCAACACCAAGGTAGGAGAAGCCCAATTCGTGCAGAATTGACTTTGTAGTCAGTATTCAATAACCTAGTCAAGTCAATATTCATCCAGCATTTAATGTGACACTGCAATTGTTAAATTAATCAATGCAGGTAAGACGCCTGAGCTAATTATTATGGGAAAATATTCATAACAACATCACAGCTTATGAAAATAATTAAATTCAATTTGATAATTTATCTCCATAAAAGGAGATCGTCTCATATTGTACTATATTTATAGTAATGTTAAAAAATAATGTTTATAAATCGTAATAATCACCTCCAAATTGCTTTATTTTTTTTTCAGAATAAAAAGTTGAGTTTTACCTGCATTTGGTTGCATCCAAAGGATGACCTCTCAGTGAACATAGCACCGTTTCTGATGCCCAATAGGGATGAAATGGATACTTTATATTTTTTTAAGTTTTACAAGGAACCTTGAAGACTCACCTTCAGTTTTGGTCCAAACTATGATGATGACGGCTGCTATCAGAGCAACTAAACCAAGAGAGCCAGCGAGGAACCTCCACCAGTCTGATGCATGTTCTGTGCAGATACAAAGGAGAGAAACTAGAAACTGGTGGAACATCACAGAATGCAGAATTAGACAGCGTTTTACCTGGTGTGACTGGGTTTTCACAATGAGCAAAGGCAGATTCAGTTATTGGTTCATCTTGACCTTTGAAAAAATAACAAAACTCAACTCATTACAAATAATTTAATCCATGTATATCTCTGTTTTTCCAGATTTAAGATAATTATTAGTTTGTAGGACAAGCGATTGCAAACTCATTGCACTCCTTGATTTTCTCACCTGTTGGATGAGAGTTGAAGGTAAAAGTATTAACTTTACCATCTTCTGTCTTCACTTCACAGCTGAGAAAGTTAAACCTTGATGTGTAAATGTAATGAGACCTCTGGAGGGGGATCACAGCAGAGCAGGAAGAGGACGACTCTTGGCTTGTGTTAGTCACATAGTTACCATCAAACAACCACTTCACTCTGTGTTTACACACTTCATTTGTCAATAAAGAACAGCTTAATGACACCATGCTCAGGGTATGTCGTTCTGTAACTGAAATTGATTTTGAGGAGAAAAGCAGAGAAATTATGGTTCCTTCAGTTGTTGAAATCGTTTTGATTCTGCTGTAAGCAGGTTGATATTTCTTAAAGTTGAAGATGAAAACATTGTATAATACTTACACTGAACAAGATAAAGATGGACGGCGGCATCAGAAACTGAAATTGTTCCTGGGAATTGCTGTCTGCAGTTGTACACACCAACATCCTCAGCTCTGACTTTCTTTAAAACCAGAGAACAGTTTGCAGAAAGACTCAGTCTGTCTGATCTGGTATTTTTAATCTGTCCATGATTAACCAACTCTACAGTTTTTCTATCAGAGTTGCTGTAGGACCAGGTGTTGGTGTGACAATTATTGTGAGCCACATTTTCAGGAGACAAAGTGACATCCTCTCCAGCTCTGACAATGATGAAGAGATCTGCATATGTGACTACAGCTCCTAAGGACACTAAAGCAAAAATATTCCTGTCAGTATGTTATAGAAGGTTATTAATTGATTCAATGTTTGAATTCTTACAATGACATTCTCAACAGGAACTTAAATCAAGATCTAATCTACACATTTGACATTACTGATCAATTAAGAAGTTTTGTTAATGCTGAAATGAAGAGAACCAGATAAAGAATAGTGGTTCAGAACCTCACCTGTGAACTGCAGAATCAGGATGAAAAATAAAAACATTTCTCTCAACCTAGATTCCTCCATGGTTCCTCTCTGCTTCATCGTCTCTCTCTGCTTCCTGAGTGACTCTGTCAACTTGAGCTTTTAAACCACTATCTTTCTACTTCCTGTAATTATTGAGACTTTAACTTCCTCATTTAAGCTGTGATCCTTACTGCTTCAGCTGGTGCTCTAAAGCAGGAAGTTTGGGTCGTCCTTTGCAATTTCCTAATTCTAAACAATTCAACGTAATGTGGATTCAACAAACCACTGCTAATTTAGTCTGGAAATGGATCACATGTATCCAGTTTAATCAGCTTTGTACATATTGCACATATAAAGTATATATTTTGTAGATTTTTTTTGTTAAACTGCCTAATTATTATAAGTCTGCAATATTTGATACTAAGCCTGCATGTTATAAAATGATTTGAAATCAGAAGAATACACTTTATAAAAAACATCCTGCAGCAGAAAACCAAAATGCATAATGGCTCCTTGTGTTCAATGGGAAGAATGCAACAGAACAAACTGAAGCTAAAAATAAT